GAATGTATGTAATCTTTACTCTGTAATTGTCTAAACTGAGTTAGAAAAGACTAGTCCAAACATCTGTCTACATTCTTCCCACAGATACATTTCCCAAAATAAAGTTATGGGAAGCCAATTGCCCATCATTCATGGATCCATAGACATATAATGGTTGGCTCACTGGGGATATTTAATTTTCTTGAATTTTGAATGTTTTGCTTCATGCAGAAGTTTCCTTTCTGCTCAACCTACTATGCATAGCAAGAATAAATCCAGCTGGCACCTGACATCTTTAAAACTATCTTATATTTTCTGGGTTCAGAGTTTGTTATTTCATGGTATGTCCAGGAGATTTCATGTCTGGGATCAATTTTAATGATGTATCTAGAACCTCATGCATGGGGAAGCTAAGCCCTGCATAATCATACTTTCCTCTGACCTTTAAATTACCTGTCCTGCAGAATCTGATTTATATCTCTGTCCTGATGCTATTTGTCCCTAGCATTAGCTTGTGACAGTTTATGAGCATTCATGGGGACTTAGGGATTTGTTGCAAGAGTTTAACAGTGAGGAAGTCCTGATGGTAGTGTGATTACTGCTGATCTCCCTGTAAGAACTGGCTCTCTGTTAACCGATCTGTTTTGGATATAATAATAATGCAAATATTCAGAAATATTCAGCACAGAAGTTTCAGCTGAGCAAAATCAAGAACAAACTTCTACCCTGAAGGCATGATTTAAGCCAGGTCCTGTTTTACATTGCCATCTCTCTGACAAGCATTATGAGTTTTTAACTTCTGTCAGTGCTGGGATGAAACGAAGCAATTGCTATGCTTGCCCAGAAATACAGCGGAGGGATGGAAGGGTATGTGGCTTTATTTAATGGATTGTTTATGTTTCATTTTGTCTTCTCATTTTTTACTTATTTATTGAGCTCCAGATGCTGTGTTCCCCTGGGAATGCTACATCGGGTTAGTGTTAGAAACTCTGGGAAAGTGCATGAGTCTCCTGGGGTGCCTTTAAAATAATTTTGGATAATACTTATGTACTTATATTGGATAATAATTTGGGAGTACTTAGGGTGGTTCTTGGAACTGGAGTTGACTCTACAGGCATTTCTGCTTGGGCTGTCTCAATAGTTCAGCCAGTAGGTGGAACCAGGGGAAAGCAGATGTGTGTTATGTACAAATGCTCAGCCCTTTCCTAGGAGATGCATCCCTAAGTCTCTGCATAAAATTGTGGTTTTAACTTCAGTGTTCTTGTTTAGAACAGTCAAACTCCCAATCTGGAGTTACTTCTAAATAGTTGATGATGTTGTCAGACCTTGTAGTACAGAGAATGTTTTAATAAAATTTCCTTGCTAATCATTTCCACTTGTGAATATGTCAGAGATGGAGAACGGGATAATCCAGATCACATTGTATCCCTCCATCAACAACATCTGGCATTTCCTCAGAAATGCAGTATCAGAAATGTAGGTTAAAATATTTCTTTAGTGTGTTCTACTGTGAGAAATTAAATGTAGTCCACCCAACAACATGTATCCTGCAAAACACAGCTTGGGCAGCTCTGACTGAAATTAAAAGTTCTCCTTTGAGACTAAATTACCACCAAGGAGAAAACAGTGGAAGCTGATGAAGCACTAAGGTTTCTGCTACTATGGAACCACTTCTCCAGCTCTCTTGGCAGCCAGAGGAATCCAATTTAGAAGTCACCATCCTGTCTGAACATTTCACATCAATAAACTAGAAGGGAAGAACAGGGATAACTTCTCCCTATCATCACCCAGCTGACGAGAAAAATACTTGAAAGAAAAAGGTTTTAAGAGTAAGATCTTGCAGCAGTGAAACAGTGAAATCAATACGCATGAATATATTTTTAAACATCTGTAAAAGCTGGAAGTAAAGGAGTATATGGTGACATTTTGCTGCTTCAAAGCAAAGGTAGAGGCTTCTCATGTATTATGTAAAATTGCTTCAATAAATCTGCCTGGCTTTCCATTTGGGCTATATACACTGGTTTCAGCACCATAGCTGTGTTCCTCCAGTTTTCAAAACAAAAACATATTTACAATTGCAGTGTTTTTCAACAGATTGAAAATATTTGTTTCCAACAGGAAAAATGTGCTGCTAAAACACTGCTATCCATTTTGTATCTTGAAACAGGGTAGTAAAACTCTTGGCTATTAAAAATACTTAGTTTGTGGCTATGGCAGACAGTGAGCAATATTTTTTTTTTATTTTCTCCTTCTCTTCTCTTGAATGTGAAGACAGAAATTAGCTGGGAATTGTTGCTAGATGTCTGCTCTGCAGATGCAAAAGGAAAGTAATTTTGGAGCTTGCCAAGTATAAATCAAGAGTGACTTTAATAGAGAGTTATCAGGCATAGCAGGGTGAGAAAGGCTTCATCTTGTTTTAATGAGGATGGGCTGTATCTTCAAAAGCAGAAAAATTAGAACTCATGAATAATTTTGGTGGAATATTTTCTCCTTGGCACCCAAGATAACAAACCTGCAGACTCCAAGATTGAAGAATAATTAAACAAAACAGGTTAATTACCAGTAATTCAGAAAATTAATTTCCTAACAGGCATATTCTTTTATCTTTCTGACATTTTAAAATAAGCTTGTCAAATCACCACTACTGTGACTTTTGGTGTTCCTTTTCTCTTTGCTCTTATTTCAGATTTCTTACAAAATCATTGTCCTCCTATGCATTTATTGACCCTAAATACATAATTCCTGAAACCTTAAATTACATGGGTGAATATTTTTGTTTGTTTGTTTGGTGTTTTGTTCTAGTGAAGGATGGCCAATGGGGAAGGCTCTTATAGTGTGATTTCCTGTTGATAGCACTTGTGGAAAACATTAGTCATGATGATTTAACCAATATACTCATTGAAATGGAAGGGTTCATTTTCTAAAATGTTCTGGGACATTGAAGTAGTAGGGCTGAATGACTTTTCCAAGAGACTAAGGTATTCCAGTGGCAACAGCTGACCATGGAAATAGGGAACTCGATAATTTTATAAATCAACAGAATGTTTTTTCCCATAGTGAAGGTCTGAGGGACTTAGGAGGGGAGAGGAGGAGAGCCTGCAAAGCTGTACAGGTTGTACACTTTAAAAGACCCCAATGACAACAAGTCCAAAGGCTGGGTTTTGCTTAGGCTGGGTTTGGACATGATGCCATCACTCCATGTCTTCCCTGTTTGTAAAACCCAGGAGTGAGAGTACTTTGGTGCCTGTCCACACTGATTATCTGAAGATGCTCATGTTGCCCACACTGTGTCAATCCAATGGACTCAGCCACACCACTGGACAATTCAGCCAGCACATCCAAGAACCATCTCAGACCTAGAGGAAGGGCCATTGGAATAATTTACTCTAAACTTCTGTCTATCACAAGCCACCAAATGTCTCCCAGCTATTTTGTGCTTTACAAGAATTCAGCCTCAGCCCTTCACACACTAAGCCCACAGGAGTATGAGGGCTCCTCTTTGCTACGTGTGCTGGCTCACAGACACTTTCATATCTGCACAGGGAAAAGCTCTTTGCTTGGTCGTGTTGACAATAGGAACAAGGGATGGTGAAGGGATTTACTTACAGGGTTGGGCTGTGGCAATGGGCTCTTTAAATAGCTGGGTGACTTTTGTCTGTGTATCTGGATCTGATTATTAAGCACTTTTTTAATGATCAGCAACAAAGTAAATAGGTTTATTGCACTCGAGGAGGCCTCTCTTCTCAAGTGGCAGATTATTGCACCTACTCAAATGATTGTGAGTGGAATGAAAAATCCCATGATTAAAAGGCCAGGGCTTTTCATCGATCTGAATGTTCCTCTTTTAACAACTCTGACAGCATCAAGGAGCCTTAAAGTGGGAGTAAATTATATTGGTATGTTTTAGTTTAAACAAGAGTTTAAAGGTGTTTTTAAGCCAACTTTAAGACCAACTGTTTGTAAAGGAGGCCTTAATGGAATTTGGAATTATGCCCAGAGCAAACGCATTGTCTATTTGGCAGTGATTAGCAATGTGTTCACAATTTAGTATTCTAAATATAGAATAACCAGTTACCAAGATATTTAAATACACCTTCAGGTACAGCAGTAGCAGGCTTAGAAATGTACTTTAATAAAACCTGAGCCTGCTCACAAAGAAATTGTAAAAGACAGTAGAGAGTCTTTGCAGAGATATCCTGATGGATAACTCACCAGCTGTGGGGTCCTAATTATTTTCCCACAAACTCTTGGGTGAGACATTTTCTTCATGGAGAGTTTTTGGAAAACCTTTTGTTTGAGACATCTCAAACTGCAAAGAGGACAAAACACTGGGGATATAAAGCACAGTACAGGGAAGGCAGCAATGGGTGGAATTGCCTTAACAATTTCTAGGGTCTGACTTTCCTTGTTTGCAGTTTTTAGGGTTACACACTTGTTTTTTGCAGCACTAGGGCTTCTATACTGCATGTGCCCAAGGAGTGCCATGCTCCTTCTGTTCTTGATGCCATGTGAATAACTCTGTTAGTTTCTGTGTCTGAGATACTGTGCCCTGCTTGAACCTCCTGTACAACACAGGTTTTCTGTGCAGTGATCGTCTTAGAAAAATGAAATCTTTGCTTTGTCACTTGCCTGATTTGCACCCTTCTTGCACCACAAGCATGGCTAGTGCTGTTAAATGTGATTCAGAGTTTGTTGTGAAGGGATTTGAGAGCTCAGAATGCAATGAGCCTCTACCTTCTGTGGGTTTTGATATGACCTACAGCATCCCAGTACTCCAGGAACTCAGTAATAGTGACCTGGAATCACATCACTGTGTTACATAAAATCCCTTTTCTACCTTGATTAACCTTGATCAGTTTTTTTATCTGATTATCAAATTTTAAATTGACTTGCATGCTGGTTTGTTGAAGCTCTTTATACTCATTAGACGTGATGGGATTTTAACTAAGGACTAAGCAACACAGGCTTTGCAGCCCCCATTTCTCTGTAACGCTCTCCAAGATGTGTTTCTTTGCTTGCAGGCCACTGCCCAGAGCTCCCTCCCCATGAGCAGCACCGTCCCAGCCACGCCAGAGCCCTACACACGGACTCAGTTCTGCAGGTGGCCCTGCCAGTGCCCCAGGTCCCCACCCCGCTGCGCGCTGGGCGTCAGCCTGGTCACGGATGGCTGTGACTGCTGCAAGACCTGTGCCAGGCAGCGAGGGGAGAGCTGCACTGAGGCTGACACCTGTGACTTCCACAGGGGCTTGTACTGTGACTACAGCGGAGACAGACCTAGGTACGAAATAGGAGTATGTGCACGTAAGTGATGTACATATATTTTTGACTTAGATATACGCTGGCAGCTCCCGTCAGTCTGAGCAGGGGTTGAGATTTATCTCATTTTAGATGCCTGGCTGCACTCTTATCAGCAGCATCCTCCATTCCCTTGTAGCTGTCTTTGTTCTCAGGGCAGCTGGCTGGATGAGAAATGACATCTGAATTCCTTCCCTTTGATTTGGCTGCAGCCAAGAGCAAAGACTAACCAGCATTTGAAAGTCTCCATATGTGTAAATAGATTCTTCTGTACTCCCTGTAACAGGAGGAGGTGCTGTAGTGGGTTGGGGATGAAGGAAGGATAGGCAGGCAGCTGATTTAAAGACAAGCAAAACGGACCCCTACATGAAAACCATGATGTTAAGGTGACGCTTTTGGCTCATTCCCTATAGGGGATACCTTGGAAAAACAGCATATGGTCAGTAGAATACTCTGTCAAGATGGTCAGCAGTGAATCCTCTCCTATCAGAGCTTGTCAGTTACAAATTGAGGTTTAAGCCTTAATTTTATGATGGTTACAGTTACATTAGCTGTCACAGGGCTGAAGGATTTCTTCCCACCTCTCATAACAAACTCTTGGCTCCATGACACTGGAATGCTTTTCAAGAAGAAGCGCAGAAAGAAGTTAGGTAGTGTTTTATGTATTAAGAGTATATTCACTTGTTCTGAGTTCCAGAACATGAGGGGGAATCTGATCCTCTCATAAATGTTAGGAATTATTGAAAATCATTACTCTGGAAATGATTAAAAGTGAAAGGATCATCAGCACAACCACAGATTGCTGACTGGAAAGGCTGCTGCTTAGTAAGTTATTAGAACATATGGCCATGGCTTTAGGTTCATAAACAGGAAAAAAACATTTAAATGGGGGCTTCTGGGCTGGAGCATAAAAACAAATTATCCAAGAGAAAATGTAAAGGTGAAAGGAAACCTGGAGGAGAGCTGACTGTGAGATGGACTGATAGAATAACTGATCCACAGAAGAGGAAAAAGCTCACAGATTCTGGGCTTCAATAACCTTAGAATATGAGCAGAGGTTACACAAGGGACAGGTCTGAGGAGTTAAGAAGTTCAGGGTAAACTGGCAGAATCTCACAGAAGTGATATTAGGCATTGCTCTTCCTCAGAGAAGGGTGGGAAGTCTAGTAAGAAATTACCTTGGCTTTGCACTGGCTCAGTCACAAAAAAAAAAAAGGCATGCAAAAAGTGCAGTCTAACCAGATTTTTGTAGGATACAGGCAAAATAACAAGAGAAGTTATATGCTAGGAGCTGTAAACCTGAACAGTGATTTTCAAGATTAGAAAAGATGAAAAGATTAAGGTTAAGAAAAGAGGATATGGGATAATTTAAATGTATTGTCTGGAGTGTGCATAGAACATTCATGAGAGGTCTGCAAGGGCAGGTTAGACAAACACTGTCAAGAATGACATCGTTACAGCTGGCCCTGTACTGGGAGAGGAAACCAGGCTGGATGTTGTCTCAAAGCTATCAGCCTTCCTGGGTCTCTTTAAAGGCCCTCATGTTGATTTGCATTTGTTTATTTATTTAAATGGCTGCTTTCTTAGTTGGATATTTTTTGGTTTTTGCATCCTCCCAAACATCACAGGCACTCAGTGTGCCTGTGCCAGCAGCACTGTGCTGAAGGAAGCCTGACCCCCAGCTTTTCCAGCGAGATCTGGAGGGATTCCCAGTCTGTGCTTTCACTTCCCCACCACCATGACAATATGTCCCTGTTATGTGACATTTATGGATGTTTGGTGAGGGCATTATGGTGTGCACAGCTGAAGGGAGCAGAGGGAAGGTGTTTCCATGGTTAGGATGTGAGATTGTCTCTGACTGCCAGAGAAACCTGTGGCCTTTCCCTTGTTTCCAGCACCCAGGTAGAAGTACAAGTCAGGATCTGCTGATGTGTTCTTTTTGTACCCTGGGCCTCACATAGGCTGCATGATCCCACTCTGACCCACAAGCTTCTGTCCTGACCTGGTGACTGAAAGCTCCTGTGAGTGGGAATCCTGTGCTGGGTGTTGGGGACTGACTGCTGTGAGGAACTGCCTCTGCCTATGGATGCTTTCAGCTAGATCTAGAGAACCCAGGGTGTGAAGGGCTACAGAAACAATATAATTTATGGAAACTAAAGATCCTGAAAGAGTTAGGACTATGTGTTGGGAAAGGGAGTGGGGTCAAAATTCAGGCTGTATCTGGACTGCCATGCTGAGGTGTGGCCCAGGATCTGACCTCACAGACATCAAATAGGAACCTGCTGGGAGTCACTGCAGCTCTCTTTTGGGTGTTGGCTTTTCTCTGCAGCAAAGCAGAGGCAGTGGGGTGCTGAGCACAGCCCCAGGGGGTGAGGCAGGTGTTTTCTATGTGGGCTGGGAACAGGGATGTGTCTCCAAATTGCTTTATTTTGATGCAGACTCAGTGAGGTTCTTCTTGAAAGCATTGAACAGCCCCTTCGTCTCTGTTTAGGGATGTTCTCATGGTGAACCTCTTGGTTTATGAGACCCATAGGAGACTAAATTAATATAATCCAGGAGGAATATGCTCATAGGAAAACAACAGGAGATACAGCATTTTTTTGAACTGTCATAATCTGAGTGCATACCTAGAAGTGTATCTGAATTCTCAGGCCCAGGTCCAGCACTGAGTGATTGCCTTTTCAGTACAAAGGCATAAGCATTACAAAAACTGGAGCTGAGCATGAACGGGAGATCTAGCTCTGTGCTTGAAATTACAACAGCTCTCGTTTTTGTGCAGAAGAAGGGATTTGTGCTTGATGTTTTCATTCAGCTCATTCTAAAAATAGGAAGCCTTTGCAGAATTTTAATCCAGCATTTCAATTTATGTTTTCCTGATGCAGCTCCGTTTCTGACCAGACTCAAAACATAATCAACCCAGCCAGTGTGTGTGCAGTGCCTCCATGTGACCAAACAAGAAACTGAAGTTTGAATTTTCCATTGGAAACCACTGCTTCCAAATAACTGTCTATAATTTGAAACAAACAAAAAATTCTTCTCTATGATTCCTGTTCATAGGCAATCGAAAGGCTTGACTTTTTAAGGTGATTTTATATTAAAAAAATATACACCAAATATTTCTTTTCATGGCTTTATAATGTATGCTTCATTTTCCAAGAAAACTGGTCTGTGATAAACTGGGTAAGATTCAGGTTCCTAAATATAGGAATCCAGTGCCATTTAGGTACTACTTTTGCTACCTTGTTTTTTCTCCCCTTTTGCTTCAGATATACTCAGGTGTTTTGAACATCTCTGTCATATGTGTGACTCCATGAAGTCCCCTCTATGTCTCTGAAAACCTCAAATTTCACTAAGTATATTTTTTAATTATTTGGATTTCTCCCCCTGTGAGTAATTCCTACCACCATGCTATGAAATAATTTTGATTTTTTTTAAGTAAGAATTTGTGGATAAAACTTGTTTTATTTTCTAACTTATTTTTTCATTGAAGCATTAAAAGGTTCCTTTTTTTGCTGTGATTTAGAATGGAAACAGATTCCTAGATGCTGTGACTGCACTTGGCTCAGCATCAGTCTGAACACATTGCTCTGCAGCACTGCCAGCCCAGGGATCAGCTTGGTAAAGGAACACATCAGAGCTGTTTATTGTCAGCATTATTTTAATGGCTCTCTGTGTGTTTTGTCTCTTTTTCTTTCTTTTCAGAGATTGTTGGTGTAGGATGTGTCCTCAATGGAGTCAGGTATAAGAACGGGGAGACATTTCAGCCCAACTGCAAATACAACTGCACGTGCATTAATGGGGCTGTGGGCTGTGTTCCCATGTGCACAAACTCACGTCCCCCACTTGTCTGGTGCCCAAACCCAAAGCTGATTAAGATGGCAGGGAAGTGCTGCGAGCAGTGGGTTTGTGATGACTCCAGGAAAATCAGGAAGACATCTCCACGTCATATCTCCTCTGCAGGTATGGTGGGAATGAGGCAGATCTCTCCTTTGCCATCTGCCAGAGTCTACAAGCCAAGTGTCAGCTTGCACTGCCAGACCTGGCAGGTGTCTGACCTTTGTGAGGGAGACAGAGCCTCTCACACAGCACATGCTGAAGGACAGGACAGGCAAACACCAGTGGAACTCATTAGTAGCCATATGGATTTGGATGCCCCATCCCTAGAGGTGTTCAAGGCTAGGCTGGATGAGACCCTGAGCAACCTGATTAAGTGGGAGGTGTCTCTGCCCATGGCAGGGGAGTTTAATTGAGATGAACTTTATGGTCTTTCCAACCCAAACTATTCCATGATTCTATGAATATGATATTAATCAAATATGCTGGTGCAACTATTCTGGAATCCTGTGTGCCAAAGCCCTCTTTGAAGGACACATCTGCTGGAACTTTGAAGATGTCAAAAGTCCTTTTTAATTCTTCATTTTATTTTTTTTTTCCTTAGTCTGGACCTCCTGGAAAAGAGAACAGACTCAGTTTAATTTGAGACCAAGGCTTTCTGACCAAGTTATATTGCTATTGTAGTGCAATTTTAAAGCCCCTGTATCTTAGGAGTCTTAAACTTACACAGTACCTTGAAGGCAGCTATTGTGTGGACATTTTACTGTGAGTTACATTAAGTTGTCTTTGTGATAGTACAACTTTTCATCAGTTCTGAACTGATAGCATCATGAAACGTTCTGTCCTCACACTCACATTTATAGTAACAATCACATTGCCCACTGCACAGAGGTAGTATCATTTGCCTCAAACATGGTCCCAAATGCTTAAAGTGGACTCAACTTGCCATATGTCTTAAATTTATTGTCAAAATGCCCTATGACACACTGTAGTGACATTAGCCACATTAGCTTCATGTTTTAGACCATCTCACAAAAGCAGAGTTCAGGGAGAGATAGGATTGTTGTAAACAAAGATTTTGGCTCCTTGATGGTAAGAGTTTTTCCTAAACCTTAGTCGGTACTTTTGTTGCACAAAACAAAGCCTCAGTCCTCATGTGTGAGTTAAAACCACCAGAGCTTAGTCCTCACTTCTCTGTTCCTGATAGCTCTGAAATGTGGGGTGGGTCCATATTCGAAATATCTACTACTGAAACTGGCCTTACGTCCTCAAGGCCTGTGTCCCAAAATGAGCAAAACACTGCTTTGCTTTCCTGACATTTCTCCTGTAAGGAAAAGTCTTCTAGAAGTCAGACTAGCATCTATTATGTTTAATATAATAATTAATATAATAATAAATATAACAGTGAGCAAGCTCAATGCAGCAGTTTCTGCCAGTTTTGCCTGTGGACCGTCCTGTAAGCTGTAAAGCAGTGGGGGCTTTGGCTGGGGCTGGGACAGAACCATAACTGGGGTTGTTGACTGCTTTCAAAACAGAGCCCACCCTTTCTTCAGATGGCTGCTGAGCTCTCTGAGAGCTATTGAAGCTGTTCTTCCTCCCAGTGAAAGGCTGTGGCTGCTTCCCAAGCCCTCTGCCATCCAGCAGAGACTGTTGACCACTTTCTGCTACAGGGAACCAATTGAATGGGCTGAGAAATAAACCTTCATGGTGAGATCAGATCTCATCCCCTTTCTCCACCCGCTGGCTCAGGCTTCTGTAATTGTTTATATTGTGGCAGCACCTGGGGGTCCCAGACAAGGACCCCCTTGTGTGAGGCTGTGAAGGGGAATAAAGGAACAAGCCCTGGCCCCCAGCGGTCACAGGGATGGAGAGTCTGACACAAGTAGGTCAGCACAAAGGGAGTGGGATGAGGGAGTTCACAGGAATGCTGAGCCACTTGGCTGTGGTTTAATTATTTGGGTTAGTGGCCTGAATGTGCAATGAGCTGGGGAGAGGGTGTTTAATATGTAAAGCTGCCCGGGCTGAATAATGTGGGGTTAATCTGTGTCCGCAGCGTACGAGGGAGAGGACGAAGCCTGGCAGAAGAACTGCATAGTGCACACCTCACCCTGGAGTCCCTGCTCAAAGACCTGCGGGCTGGGCATCTCCACCAGGATTTCCAATGACAACGACCAGTGCCGGCTCCTGAAGGAAAGCCGCCTGTGCAACATGAGGCCCTGTGAGGTGGATATAACCCAGCACATCAAGGTGGGGACTGTTCCTTTGTGCACCCCTTGAGCGGGACACTGAGCCAGCCTTTGTTTGCCAGCATCCAGCATCTTGTGAGGCTGCACTTGTAAATGGAATTACTCTGCTGCACAGAGTTCCAAAATGTGTCATGCCCATGCTGGTATAAAAACCTTCCCCTGAGAGTTTAACTCCAGCCAAAAGGTCCTTGCAAGGAAAGCCAAGAAAACCTGCTGTGCTCCATGCTGGCTTGGACAGCCCTGTACTCAGCTGGCCGAAAAGCAGTCCTGCATATCTGGTCATGGCTATGGTCTCCATTATGCAAGTATCCTACTTGCAGCTTTTGGGTTCATATGTCTAAACATGTAAATCTTTCACACCACCTAGGTTAGGGCTGTTAAAGTCTTTCTAACAGCTACAAATCCCTTTAAACATAGGAATTGTAGAATAGAATAATAGAATCCTTAAAGTTGGAAAGGATATCCAAGATCAGTAAGCCCAGCCTTTGACTGAATACCACCATGCTTTATAACTGAAAAGTGCCATGTCTATATGTTTTTTGAATCCTTCCAGAGATGGTGATTCCATCACTTCCCTGGGCAGCTTTTTCAAGTGCTTAACCACTCTTTCAGTGAAGAAATATTTCCTGATATCCAACCTGAACCTCTCATGGAACATTTGAGGCCATTTCTCTTTGTCCTATCACTGTTTACCTGGTAGAAGAGGCTGAGCCCCTGTCCCCCCAGTCTCCCCTTCCTTGACACAGCTTCCTTTCAGGTAGTTGTACAGAGCAGGGTGGGTTTTATGTCCTACCTGTATTAGCACTCTTTGTTTTTAACCTCTTTGTTTTAATTTTCTTCTCTGATTTAGCCTGGGAAGAAATGCTTGGCTGTCTACAGGGCGAATGAACCCATGAACTACACCATCTCTGGATGTGTGAGCAAAATTCCATACAGACCCAAATACTGTGGTGTCTGCACAGACAACAGGTGCTGCACACCCTACAAGTCCAAGACTATTGAAGTGAGGTTTCAGTGCCCAGATGGAATTGAGTTTTCCTGGAAAATTATGTGGATCAATGCTTGTTTTTGCAACCTGAACTGCAGGAACCCCAATGACATCTTTGCTGACTTGGCTCATTACTATGATTACTCTGAAATCGCTAATTAAAGTGGCTGAATGCTGGAATTGACTCTTTGCTCTGATTTTACAGAGGTTTTAAAATAAAAGGAGAATCTTCATCCACTGCCAATGTGCAATTTTTTTTTTTCCCGAGTTAGAATGTTGATGCCTTGAGAGGTTACCTAGTAGAGAGGCTAGACAGTGCTAAAGGAATAAAGCAGGTATTTATTAAAAAGGCCATAAAGGATATACCTTGGGCAGTACAAGAGCCTGGCCAAGGCTACACCCAAGATGGACAATGGGTCACGAGTTTTCACACTTTTATAAGTTTTGGTCCATTTCCATATTGGGGTTAATTGTCCAATTACACCTTCAGGTTATGAAGTCCCATCCTCCCAGATTGCTCTCCTCAATTCGCTGTTGTTTACACTTTTCAGGCCTGAAGCTGCAATGGTGTCCTTGGTTCTCAGGCTGGAAAAGGATTGTTTTGTTTAACTACACTGTGAAGAGAACTTGCTAACATTTTATATGAAGTTCAGAGTTATATACTAACGCAGTACAAAATCCAGAAAAGCTAAAACTTATGGCATCAATGTTTAATCTCTTTGTTTTACCACAATGTTTTTGAAGAGGCCTTGAACAAACCAGATTTTTAACTCTAATAGATCTTCATCCATTAACAGTACCCAGTAATTCCTTTAGGCACTGATGCTGGGACTTAAATGACAGTTCTGTTGGCACTGTCATTTACTAGGCCAGCAGTTTAATTGCCCATAGGAAAGAACAGTACACTAGTATGACAGCAAAAGTATGGCTGTCATTAGCTTAGACATGAGATTCAGACATTCTTATTGTAATTTCTTGAATATTATTGTCTAAGCTGGAAGACTGACATATATGTTTTATGTCCAACATTAGACACCAGGATTTGATGTCTGACCCTTGCAGCTAAAGTCTAGCATCTGTCACACTGAGATCAGTCCTAGAATCACCCCTCTGTTATTCTCAGTCAGATTCTACTCCATAGTGAATTTCATGGGAAAAGCCTTAGGAGAAGAATGTTTCTCCTGAAATCTCTGTGTGGTGTTTCTGTCTCTCACTGCAATAGGCTGGGTCCAAGAACTTCTGTGTCCTGCTCTCCTTAGACTCATCTCAATCTCTTGAAGTATCTTGTGCCAGGAACATTTTCATAGTTCTCTACCTCCTCTGATCTTAAATAGCTTGATTGAATCCAAAACAGCCACCCAGAGCTCATGTTTTCAGGATAAGTCATCTAATCCACAGCTGATGTACTGCTCCTAGGCTATCTCTGCAGAAATGTAGAGAGCCAGATAAGAGCTGAAGGACAAGATCTCATTAATCCATTTATTATTACTATTAGAAACAGAAATTGTGTGGCCTCTGCTTGGGGACCACCATCACCTCCTGCTCTCCATGGTGTTACCAGCACCCAGGTGCCTCTTCCCACTGCCACCTTGCCAGTAACAAAAATCATTGTTTTACATGGCTGGGATAGAGGAAAGAAGATGTGTTAAATGAGAAAACAGGTGTTAGGCTTCACACCAGCTCTGAGAATGTGTGGATGCAGAAGGAGAGGAAACCCTTGGCACAGCTTCTGATGCATTCATTCCAGCTGGGCTGATGCTTAGAGTAAACATTTTCTACAGAAGTGGTTTCACATTAAAATGTCAGCTAAGAGAAAAAAAAATCCCCTATCATTACCTTTCCAGGTAAGAAATTTATCATCACTGAAGGATGTTGGAGCCAGTTTTTTCTCCAATAAATTGTTAGTACAGCAGCCATGCCCCATGGCACGTTTGCTGTTGCTTCACTCGGGAGAGCAGAATTGTGTTTCTGCATGAACAAGAGAACTGTAGTATCCACTTCAAAAATCCCTGGTGGCACAGTAGAACTGCTGTGTGACACATGATCTGGAGATCTGACCAGTACAGGGCTGAACTTGGGACGATGCAGCTGTTTATTTTGCTTTGCTTTCAGCTGGCAAATTGTCTGTCTTCATCTTGATAACCCAGCAGAAGCTTGGTTAGTTTCTGGGAGACATAAATTTTTCTGACTATGATGAATTAAAAGTTCTTGTGAGTGGGCTGAAAATAATGCCATGCCTATGTAAAAATAATTAGGAAAAATACTGTATATTTGCAAAAGCTGTTAACACCAATAGCATCTTAATTTGTATACAAGAATTTGGCTCATATATTTTTTACAGAGCTAGGTCATTCCTGAATTTAAAGCTTTATTTCTTTTTTGAGACTTCCATGAAATCTCTAGTGGCAGAAAGGCAGGGTGATCCCTGCCCACATATTCCAATGCAGATGCAAAGCCCCTCTTCTCTTTGTTTCTCTGGTGATAAGGAACCTGAGACCACCAGCATTTTGCAAGATTCAGCAAGTGACTGCCTTGGCCTGGATGATGTGACAGCAGAGGTCACACCTGACCCATTTGCCTCCCATCAAACGAGAACTCAGCACTCGCAAGACTAAGAATATTACATTTCAAACTCCACTCCTTCGTAAAGAAGTTCCATGTGAACATACCAAAAAGAGGCTGTGGCCAAGAATTTGGCAATGCTTTTCAAAAGGGAAAATGGTTTGTATTAAGAAGTTATAGGGAAGACATACTAGGACCTCTTTCTCAGTCGGGTCCCCTAACTATGACTTGGAACCCTGTGTTCTAATTCGTGCCCATCTTAAAATGCCATCTATATGCATGTGTGTATATACATGCATGTATGTGCAGATATAAAAATAAATATATCTATAGACACTTATATGTAGATGTATACACACCTATAAAATATTATGTGAATGTATCTATATAATATTGCATATAATATTATATATAAAACATATGGAAACATGCCCATGAATATATATATATATGTGTATATTTACATATATATACTCCTAGAGTGCATAAAAAGCAGTGTATGTATAATGTGTGTTTGTAAGTACAGTCAGTCTTTCTCTGTCTTACATGTACACATAAGGAAGCAAGAAAATAGAAAATAGGACTAGATCATGTATAAAAAACTGTGTCTCTTAACTGGCTTGCTCTGCTTTGCAATTAGTTAATGCTGTAACCAGAGCAATCAAATGCTGCAGTGGCTGTAACACAAGGCTTTCACTGAGAGATAAAAGAAGCTATTGAAAGCTAATGCATGACCAGCAGCTCCAGTGTGTGTCAGTTTTAGTGAAGTGAATGCCTGGAAACCACAGATCTTGCCCAACGTGCCCAAGATGTTTCTGTCTCTAGCCTGGTTTCCTAAGGAAACCGGGTGTATGCAGCCACACTGTTCATTTGTTTGTCTGTCAGGCAGTCCTTTGTGGGAAATGTCAAACAAAGCAGGCAGAAGTGTAAAGATCTCAGGAGCATTGCAATTCCTGCAATAAAATATGAAATCAAGGAGCAGGGAGGGAAGAGCCTTACCACATTGTCCCTGTCAAGCCCGTGCACACTTGCCAGGCAGCCACTGCACCCAACACACCTGCAGTGTGACCCAGCCACCCCAGCAGCCGTGTAAAGGGGTTTTAAACAGATTTGCCAGCTGGAAATGAGTAGCCATGGAGGAGGCAGACCTGAAGGAATCACAGATGGGGAAGAGTGGTTATTACACTGCTGTAAAGGAGTTTTGTGGAGACATTGGACACAAATCTGTAAGAAACCAAGCACTGTTAGCTCTACTACTCTGCTTGTGCCACTGGTTGTCTGTCCAGTGCCTCTGAATGGGGAAAAGCATCACTTGTAGCCAATTAATTTGATCTGCAGTCTGTGGTGCATTTGAGATCCTTTGTTTTAATGAGTACTTACAAGCAGATTAGCCCTAGGACTAAGGCAGCAGTCCAGCTTTAGATTCAGTTCCTGGCTCCCTCTGTGTATGGGCAAATCATGTATCTCTTACAAAAGTGCTTTTGTGGTTACTGTTTTAATTCATTGAAGATCTAGATCCCCAAAGGCTTTCATGGATTCAACCTTTTGCTTCACTTTTCCTTGGGACTTCAGAGCCAGAACAACAAGGCCTCACTGTTCATTGCCTCTGTTGAAAGTGAAAATTCCCCCAGCAGGAACTGATGCTCATTGTACATTTGTGCAGCGGGCCCAGGTCTCTGTTGGGACCTGAAAGCAATGCCACCATCCAAGAAAAACAATTATAGCACTGGGGAGATACCAGGATCAGACTCCTCTGCTGCAATGGGCAAGTGAAAGGTTAAAAAAGGTTGACAGTGACAATTTTGCAATCCACCTAAGCCAAGACAGTTTGACACACACTCAGCTCATGGAAATCATCCTGTTGGTCCTGTAGGCTGGGTCAAGGATGAAGGGTGTGATTTTGAAGGTCTGATCAAGCCTCCAGCTCTCTCCAGTGACCACAGCCATCAGCCTTCTGTGGAGGCTTCTCCAGAATTGTGGCAGTAGCTCAAGCCACCTTGCTTGGGACCCCAGAAAACAGGTTATCTACTCATCAAAGAAACAGGCATGAAGCTTATTAAAATGCCTTTCCATGTAGTGCTGGCTGGAATTTAAAACATCATTTAGTGTGCATGCAACTGGAAACAGGGTGTAGTGCAGTTGCCATGTTTTTGAAGTGTTCACTAGGGCTGTGCTGTATAGATGTAATATTCCAGAAAAAACACAACATTTAGAAAGACTGTGTCATCTTGTCAATTAAACCCTGGGATTTTTTTTGTCTCAGCTTTCTTGAAGGAATTTTGAAACAAACAGTTTATTAAACTGATAGTGTTCTCACCATCTAGAGACACATCTCCATACATTCACCTTCTCAAATTGTGACTTTCCAGTTTTAACATTTCCATAGAGTTATTTCTGTAAGCTTCATACTCTGAAATATATGAAAAATTAAAGGGAAAACCAGATTAGGTTTGGAAGTCTGAGTTACTCCAGCTATATAACACATTACTTGTTTGTAAAGCATCAGGATGAGGTCATTTAAGATAATACTTTGCTGCTGTGGTTTAAAGATATTAAGTAAGTGGCTTAAATTAAATGGTTAATGAATCTGTGACTGACACCTCGTTTAGAAATTTAGGTGAGCAAATGAAGGTGAAATATATCTGTGACTGACACTTCTTTTCCTTTTTGG